GAATTGTGCTGCAATAAACATTCAACTGCACTTGTCTTTTTGATAAAATGATTTCTTTTCCTTTGCATAGATACTCAATAGTGAGATTGCTAGATCAAATGGTAGGTCTACTTTTAGTTTGTTGAGATATCTCCATACTATTTTCCATAGAGGTTATACTATTTTTCAGTCCCACCAGGAGTGTATACGTGGTCCTTTCTCTCCACATCCACACTAGCATCTGTTATTTTGGGACTTTTGACTTGCATTTCCCTGATGATTAGAGACTTTGAGCATTTTTTATGTTTACTGGTCATCAGTCTATCTTCTTTGGAAAAGCTTCTGTTCATGTCTTTTACCCACATTTTTATTGGTTTGTTTGATTTTTTTTTTTTTTTTTTGCTGATTTGACTTCTTTGTTGATTCCTGTTATTAAATGCCCTTTATCAGATGTATAGCATGCAAATATTTTCTTCCTTCTGTGGGTTGTCTATTCACTCTATTGATTGTTTTACTGGCTATACAGAAGCTTTTTAATTTAATTAAATCTCATTTATTTATTTTTGCTGTTGCTGTGATTGTCTTTGGGGTCTTTTGATAAATTCTTTTCCTAGGCCAATATCTACAACAGTTTTTCTAATATTTTTTTCTGGAATTCTCATAGTTTCATGCCTTAAGTTTAAGTCTGTTATCCACCATGAATTAATTTTTGTGAGCAGTGATAGGTAAGGATTCTTTTTCAGTCTTCTATATGTGGCTGTCCAATTTTCTCAGCACTATTTATTGAATAGGGATTCTTTTCGCCAATGTATGTTTTTGACTGCTTTGTCAAGGATCAGATGGCTATATGAGGATGGTTTTATATCTGGGTTTTCAGTTCTGTTCCATTGGTCTGTGTCTCTGCTCCTATGCCAATGCCCTGCTGTTTTAGTTACTATAGCCTTGTAGTATGGCTTGAAGTGTGATAAATTGCCTCTTAATTTGTTCTTTTTGCTTAAGGTTGCTTTGGCTATTAGGGGTCTTTTCTGGTTCCATATAAAGGGTAGAACTATTTTTCTTAGATCTGAGAAAAAGTGACATCAGTATTTTAATGGAGATTGCCTTGAATCTATAGATCACTTTGGGTAATATAGACATTTTATCAATATTGATTCTGCTGATCCATGAGCATAAGTTTTTCCAACTATTTAGGTCATCTGCAATTTCCTTCCTCAGTGTTTTGTAGTTCTCCCTGTTGAGATCTTTCACCTCCTTAGTTAAATATATACGTAGGTATTTTGTTTTCTTTGTAGCTATTATGAAAAGTATTGAGTCTTTGATTTGATTCTCAGCGTGACTATTGTTGGCATATAGGAATGCTACTGATTTGTGTACATTGATTTTGTAACCTGAAACTTTGCTGAATTTGTTTGTCAATTCCAGGATTCTCTTGGCAGAATCTCTGGGGTTTTCTAGAAATAAGATCATATCGTCTGCAAAGAGAGATAGTTTGACCTCTTCTGCCCTCATTTGGATACCATTGATCTCCTTCTCTTATCTGATTGCTCTGGCTAGGACTTACAGCACTCTGTTGAACAGAAATGGTGATAGTGGGCCGTGGTCTCCCTGTACCATTCTTTATGTCGTGGGGGCACCGGGTCCTGCCAAGCTGTCCAAGCTGCCAGTGGGCGACTCTGCAAAACACCCAAAACACCGTTGCAGCGGCTCTGCTCCCGGTGGCAGGTTCTCCTGGCAACGTGACTCCACTGCAGAGTAATATGCTTCTCAGCACAGAGCCCTCTTGCGGTTGTTATGGGAGGGAGGAGCGAGCCATCGTTTCCCTGCACCTCTCTTGTGTCCTGGGGACAGACACCAGGTACTGTCTTCCTGTCTAAGCTGCCAGTGGGAGATCGCGCAAAACACCACTGCGGCAGCTCCACTATCAGTGGCAGGCTCGGCCAGGAACATGCCCCCACCACAGAGGAAAAGGCTTCTAAGCACAGAGAGCCCTCGTGGTTGCTATCGCTGCAGAGGTGCCACAGCTACAAGCTGGCTTGAGCTAAAATTAATTGCCGTGGTACCAGGAAAGGAGAAGGTGCAGAGGAAGAGGCATCTCAGTGTAACGGTGATGGCTCTCTGGTCTCTCGTGGCGCTTGCCGCGTGGTGAGACTTTTGTGTACCACTGCTCACTGTAGTCACCCACGTGGGGAAGGGGAGCCCCCCCTTACCCTTTCACTGGGCTCTGGGCCTCTGTGGACTCAGCCCATATCATGTCCTCTCTTCTCTCTCTTCCTCTTTCTCAGCTTTGCAGCCCTTCTTGGTGGGGTCCCCGGACGCCTCTGCTATTTCTCCCTGTGATCCATACTTGAGCCGCAATTGTTCTCCAACCTCCTCAGTCCAACCTTGTACCCTTCATCTGGGACGATCCAACAAGCCATGTCTCTAGTCAGCCATCTTAGCTCAATCCCTGTTATTTTATTTTATTTTATTTTTTTAAGTTAAGAATTCAACTCAATCATTATGTAGGTCTGACAAGATGCTAACATCTTAAGGGTCAACATACTGTATGTGTAACTTCTACTTAAATTTAAGTGCTACAATAAATTCTACTCATGTCAATGCCCATTTTAAGCTCGGTATTTGTGAAGATAAAGGAAACCAATTGTATTCCTATAATTTCTGCATACTTTCATTTTTATCCCGTTTTGCCCCATTCTAATTACTTAAGAATTTATATTTATTATTTAGTTCTTACTCTCCCTGTCCATGCATACATCTGTGTCATTGATCTTGGGTTAAGGAGTCTATCCATATCCTTTTCCCTACATGCAGAATGGTAGTATGTTAATGACTCTTAAATTCTATACAAATCACCTATGTGTGTGGGAGCCCACCATAGGTTGGTATTTTTGTTTCTTTTTGTTTTTCCTCTGTTCATTGTTGCAATATCCTTTCAAGTCACTGGAAACATCAAGGCTAGGTCTTCTTAGGCACATCTTGACCATGTCAGTATATCTTTACTCCAGAATATAATTGATTTGAAATGAAGTGTCATTCCTTATTTATCTTTGCATTCTTTGATTCTAATGGTGTTTCTTTTTTGCTCTAAGTTCCTTGGATATAGAAATATTTTTACATAAATTATTTTTTTATTTTTATTACTTTTCTGAAATTGTAATTCCACATTTATAGGAAAATTTATTTCCACAGAATTGTGGGATTTTTTAAAAAAGAAAACATATTTAAATGAAAAATCAGAAATATTAATTTCTGACTAAAAAAAGGATTTTCATTTTGCTCAGGGATCAAAACCAAGTGTTTGTGATTTATTAACAACTTGAAAGAGGGCCTGGGAGAACCTTGAGTAGAATTGTTAATGGGCCTTGCCAATTTAAGATTAATTAGAAAAGAAAAAAATTTTAAAAACCTTATGTGATTTCATAAAATTTAATTTTCATGTAATCTTCTAGGGCACATCAAAGTGAGATCAATCAGAAGTATAAGAGTCCACTGGCATTCTTAATTCCAGAAAAGAACAGGGAAATAAGGAAAAAAAAGAAGTTTATGTAGATATTTCCTTCCTTGCTTTTCCTCTCAAGGCTTCTCATTAAAGCAGAGAAGGGAATGGATGGGAGACATGGGGCTGACCCAGAAAGGCTAGGATGATAATGATGAAACCCCTATCACTTGGACTCCTACATTAACTTTTGTCTGTTGAAGAAGGCTATTGTGAAGCTTTCTTTATTGGGTCATTGACCAATTCCTGTACATTTGCAGGGCAGTGATTTTTCATTACTTCTGGGGTACACAGCAATCAGAGCCTTAGACAAAACCCTAGAAAAGGCAAATTTGATCTGTTTCAGCTCCCACCAAATTCTTCTTTTCTTATGAAACATTTTGTCTTTTCTCCTGTTTAATACTCAGTGTTCTGTGCTTCTTTCCAGGTGTGTTACATTTTCTACTTAAAGTCCTTCCTTTATTCCTCAATAATTATTCTCTGTTTGCTTTAATTAAAAGATTATTTCTGAACTAGCTCTAGCCAATCACAGTTCTGTCACCTGGTTAATACTCAATTATATAAAACTAAGACTTAAAATACCCAATATTTTTTTAAACAAGGAGTTAGCAACCTAAATCAATCTGTCATTGATGCAATGCAAAGGGATTTATTTTATTTGCAAATACTTTTCCGCTTTACTTATATTATGGACATCTTTCCACGTCAGTGCATATAGACCTACTTCATTTTTAATAATGACATATTTCTTTTTATGAGTACTTGGATGTGCTCAATATTCTTGTTTGTTGTCATAATAATGATAATGATTACGATCCCCATTACCATCTTAATAAATTGCATTTATTGGATAAATTATATATCAGACAGTGCCAGATGCTATGTGCTTTATATGTATTAACTCACCTTTTTCATCTTTTCAGTTATCTTACTGGATAGATGACATTGGCAGCCTTATATTATGCATGAGAAAGCTGAGACATAGAGAAAATAAATAATTTGTCTAAAGTCGCCTTTCCAATAAGTGGCAAAGACAAGATATAAACTTAGATAGAATGCCTCCAGAGCCTATACTGGAGTTGACCCAAGCACTATTGGTTCTTTCATTGTTTTCCCCTTGGGCAATTACACAAAATGCAACATGTCAAAATCTGGGATATGTTTATAGTTTTTCCTAAACTCTTTATAAAAGACATTGTAGTTAAAAAGCAGTGACTCTGTCATATAGAAGGTAAATATAAAATAATACATTCTCCAGATTTGAAAAGTCTTACAAGTAATTTAGTCCAGTCATGTGTCACCTGTTCTGTGTAATTCCTAGAGCACTTGTTAATTACCTATTTATGCTAATACATGTTTCTACATTGTATCATGTTTATTTGTGAATATATCTCATTTCTTACATTCCACTCATAGTTCATTTTTTAAAATTTTGCTGTTAATTGTTTTATATACAAAAAATACTAATACTATTATGCTGGATTGTTTCAGTATCTTATTTTATTCCTTTTTTTCTTTCAAACAGGAGCAAAATTTATTGGAACTTTCCCCATACCAGACACCTACAATCCAGACGATGATAAAATATATTTCTTCTTTCGTGAATCATCTCAAGAAGGCAGTACTTCTGATAAGACCATCCTTTCTCGAGTTGGAAGAGTTTGTAAGGCAAGATATATTTATGTATTTCACTTAAAGCATATATGTATATGCATGAGACAATTATCTGTGTAATGTTGAGGTAAAAGTTAATGTCCATTATTCAAAATTGGTAGGATACATTCACACTATCCTGCTTGTGTAATTTTTGAGACCCAAAAGTAAACAAAAAAAAATCACATTTTTCAAACATTATAGTTTATTTGAACTGTTGCTCTGGTGTGAGTTATACTTCTTTGGCAGTTTATTACTTTCTTTGAAGAACTATCCCTTTTCCAGTTATTGCTATTCCCAGTAAAATCGCTGCATTGTCCTGATCCCTGAATGCTAAAATGTGTTTATATAATGTTAAATAATCTTATTTTAAAATTGAAAATAACTTAATATAACCACTAAAGTAACTTAAACACTAATAGAATTATATTCTGTATTTTTATCAACACACATCAAACATGTAAAATTATATATCTTTACATGTATAAGTTGAAAATATGATTATCTAGATTAGGATATGAGAGAAAATGGGGTAAAGAGGAAAAAACAAATAACCAAAAATGCAAAACATTTATTTTGAAACACACTGCAATTAGTTTTTAATATTGCCATTTTGTGTTACAAGTAAATACAGAAACCGTGAGATGCTTCCATTTTGTGCCATCAAAGCTCTCATTTGATTGAATGCAGCTTTATAGAATAATGATGCTACCAGAATCATAATAGTATTGACTTCAGTGTATTATTTTTCTGCTTGGCTTTGTCTCCACTGAAATAACTGTTTTTAAATAGACAGACACCTTCAACATCAACTTGGTTCATAAAGGGAAGAGCTGTTAAGTTAATAAATACTCTCAGCGGGAAGATTTCTTTGGTCTTTCACAAACTTTTCATTTTCTTCCATCTGAGCCTATCACTTTTTGTTTCAGTATGTACCCTCAGGCTTCTGAACACTTCCAGGGACAGAAACATAAACCATCATTGCACTTAAAAGTGCTAATGAAAACATGGCTTTTGAATGAGGCCAACTTGTGAGCCCAGATCATTCTTTACCTAGCGTCCTAGCCAATAATGCTGTCTCTCACTGATCCCCTCACCCCCAGGGGACAGATTCTCTACAAAGCATCCTCATTCTTTCGGAGTCTAAGAATTCACAGTAATTTCTCTTGAAGCCTCTTGCTCAGAGATGAATGGCGGTTGCTTGGAATAGTTGCAGTGTGTTAGTGTATTGAAGCATGGCTTATAGCAACAGTATCTTGACCCTGAAAAACTGTGCCGTGGGTCGACATTATTTGTATAAATGAGCTACGTTGAATATGTTATAATGGATTTACAATCAATTAAACATATTTCATGCATTGCTTTCTGACGAACATATAGAACAAGTGCGTGTATTGTAAGCCCGTTCAATGCTTATTTCTTGATAGATCTAATCCATTTGACAAAGATTCATTTATAACAAAGTAATGTTTTATGTTAGTATAAATATACTGAAAGTTAATCTTAGAGGTGGAGAAATGTATTAAAGAAAAATTTAGTTATCCCATTTATAGATTTCTATACTAAAAGTATACTCTATCCTTTAAGCATTGGCCATGGAGTATTTTATTTATATTATGAACAAACTCCTATAGAACTGAAAAGGCAGAAATAGCTGTAGTAAATGAGTCTTCCTACCACAAAAAAACCTCTGAGGCCACACAGCAAGATTTTGTCTGGCTATTGTTAAAAAGCTAACAAATTGTGAGATCAAATAAGGACATGTGATGGATGAATTTACTTTAAAAAATAGCAGTTCTTCACTCTAATGAGTTTATCTGTTTACTTAATCACTCTTAAGTAAGCACCATCTTCAGAATTTTTCACTATACATATGATCCATTAGTCAAATGTTCACAATATTTTCTTCTAAATGTTTTCTTTGCAATTTCTTAATTACATGCTGCCCATGTTTCTAACTTTTACATAATAATTTAAAATTGAATTGTGGCAAAAAGTGAGTATTTTCAAATGAATATTTCACTGACAACATTAGAATGATTCAAAATCTTTTAAAAAAATGTTGATATGACCTGCAAAACAGTAACAAGTTTAATAATAAAAAGCTGTTAGCATCATGGTTGCTATTATATATTATTTTCATATAAAAAGGCACTTTTGACATTATTTGGGACTTATTGCTTTCTATTGTTTCTTCTCCCCATTGTCATTATAATATAGTTTTTCTGTTTTTTACAAATAATAGCAGAATGTGTGTCTATGCTATGAAACAAAGTTGAGTTCAGTAGCTACAAAGATCTAAAAAAGAAGAGATGTGTTAGAGAGAATTCAGAGTAAACTGTGTATACTCTGCTAAGTTTACAAGGTTATTAACAGAAGAGTCCTACTATTTTGTCTCACCAACATATTCCCACAGAACATACTTGGAAATATTCAGGTTTTATTGTTCTTCTGGTTATTATTGTTTATTGTCTTTGTTTTGAACTAAATACTTTGGCACAATAAAAAAAAAAAAACGGTTGACAATTTAAGAGCTCCCCACTTCTTCAGCTTCTAACAAAAAAAAATGGTTTTATTGACCTGTCAAAATAGTTTTATTGACCTACGTTATTACTATTAGACTAAGTAGGATATAGTGATTGTGAGGGGGGAAGGTTGGTAATAGGCAGACATTACACGAAAATGACTAAAGTATTGTTTACAGAACTAGAGTGATTTTTTTTCAATTTTTGTAACCCATTCATTTATTATTTTATTATTTCATCACTTCCACAATAGCAAGAAAATGTAAAATGATTTCTTTCCCAAGTGCACTGCATTAGATAATTAGTGTAGGTATTATAATAAGCCACTGTCTCTTTTCCTTAAAAACTCATAGTACAGTGAGGGTAATGGACATATACAGATAATAACAATACAATGTGATAGTGGCAGGACCTGAGAAATCTAAGCAGTGAAGCTCAGAAACATTATACAAAGGAAGTAGTACTTCAATTGAGTCCTATGGGAGGAACAGGACTACATTAAGTAAAGGAATGGAGGGCAGGCATTACAGGGAGCATTATGACAGGATATACTTTGTTTATAGCACAGCAAAATCTTGTTTTAACTGGAATTCATGAGTGTGTACAGGGAGCAATGTCTTTTGAGATTAGAGTATAAGTTGGATGATAAGAGTCTTGTTTTCATGTTAGGCAGTGTGAACTCCATCCCTTAGGCAATGAGAAGTTATAAAATGTTTTAGGCGGAGAAGTGACAAGATAGGTAGCTATATTTAACAACAATTTCAAGAATGTATCTGGATGAAGAAATATTTGACTGGGAGAAATATGTGACTGGGAGAACTGTTAGGTTCCCTAAAGACAATAAGTATGAAGAGATAAGGGTAAGTTTAAGAGATATTTCAGATAGAATCTATGTATAGATTTCTAAAAAGTGCTTAATATCACTTTCTTATTAATTGCTTAGTATACATAGTGTGTACAGTAAAACTTTCTGTGATGAGGGTAATGTTCTATATCTGCACTATCCAACCTTGTAGCCATATAGCTGTTAGAGTTGAAATGTGATTATCAGGACAGGAACTGAATTTTCAATGCATCTTAATTTTGCCTTGCTCCTATCATATAGACTTTGATACCCTGTAGACAAGTACTCCTATGTTCTTGGTAATTGTGATTTCTAGAAGATAAAGGAGGGATCAGGAAAATGCACAAAGAGTTACATTCTGATATGAGACAAGAAACACCAAAAAAAGCTTATGAGCACAGATTTTATATTTGGACATGTTGAACATGATGTGGCTTTGAGATATGCTGGCATAATAGCCATTTGAAAACATGAACCTGAGGCTCAGTAGTGTCTAGACTCATGAATTTTGAAATCACAAATGTACTGGTAGTTCCTGAAGTCACAGTAGTGTCTGATAATACTCAGGAAGATTTATAGTTTAAGATCAAAGGACAAGGACAAAACCCCGAGTGACAATGACATTTAAGAAAGAGCAAAGTGTCTGCAAAGGCAATTGATAAGAAATGGTTGGATAGCTAGGTGGAGAACTGGACAAGTAAGTTGTCACAAGTCAAGGAAAAAGACTACTTCAAAAAGAAAACAGTTGTCAATGATGCCACACACCAAAAAGAGGTCAGGTAAAACTAAAAACCAGGTATTAGATTTACCAGTAAAGGATATCATCAATGACTTTGGGCTGAATAATAGGAACATTCACCTTAAAATCAAATCTAGCTATACAACTTCCTCTGCTTCTTACTATCCCAGTTTCTTAACCTAGAAAATGAGGCCACCCATCTCTTCCATGACTATTTTACCAAGAAAATGTAAGGCTTAAATGAGATGCATTTGGATGTAATGGATATGGATGGAGAGTACTGAAAACAAGAATGACTTAGACAGATTTCTGTTTTCAAACATGTACCAAACTTTTATAGAAAATTGACATGTAAATCATATAAATACCTGGTCATACTACAGTGATTCAAATGCCAACAATCACACACATGCATGAACACACACATACACATACATACACACACACACACACACTTCATACATATACATTTTGAAGCCAGATCAACTTACTGTGCTTGGGAGTAGAAGAAGTTGTTGGTGATGGTGGTACTGTTTGTGTAGTGACCATTAGGGACAGGTTAGTTACCAAAGCTTACTGGGAAGAAATGACATTTTATTAGTTTTAAAGGCTGAAATTACTGTTATTATTTTATCTTCATTTTTTGGAATATTTGTACTTTGAGGATGGATCATATCTGTGAACATAGTCAAATAATTTGGATCCATATTTAGTGAAAAATTTGTGAACAATTTCAGCAATACAAATTTTGACCAAGAGGTGTGGATGGGCAGAAACCTACAAAGTAAAGATATTAACTTAAACAATAGTTTTACATGGCAAGATTGGTCAATTACAGCCTAAGAATAAGTACCTTCATCCAAAGAATATCTTTCAAATTCAGTATGTGTATCATTGAACATGGTAG